ACGTGAAAGCATGCTCAAAGTCACTAAGCATCGAGAGATGCAAATCAAAACGACAATCTCACACCTGTCAGAATGGCTATCATCAACAAATCAACAGACAAGTGCTGGAGAGGATGCAGAGAAAAGGGAACCCTAGGACACTGCTGATGGGAATGCAGACTGGTGCAGCCACTTTGGAGAACAGTATAGATTCCTCAAAAAGTTAAAAATGGAACTCCCATTTGACCCAATGATGGCACTTCTAGGAATATATCCTAAGAAACCTGAAATACCAATCAGGAAGAATATATGCACCCTTGTTCACAGCAGCACAACTTAGTACAGCTAAGATTTGAAAACAGTCCAAGTGCCTATCAGCAAGTTAATGGATTAAAAAAAAAAAAAAAAAAAAAAAAAAAACCTCTTACCATTTGCAACAGCATGGGTGGACCTCGAGAGCATTATGCTAAGGGAAATAAGCCAGTCGGAGAAAGATAAGTATCACATGATCTCACTCATTTGTGGAAACTGATGAACAAAATAGATCCAGAGACACAGAACCATGAACAGGCTGATGAGTTTCAGAGGGTGAGGGAGAGATTAACTGGGAATATCATATACCTATAGCCCAAGGACACAGACAAAGGTGGCAAAGGCTTGTGAGAGATGGGTGCGGAGGGGCAGGTGTCAAGGGGAGGTGGGGGAAACAAAAACACAAGGGACATCTGTAATGCTTTCAACAATAAAAAAATTTTAAATAACCATAAAAATAAATAAAATGCCTGACCTCATTCTTATCTACTAAAGAAACATTATAGATGTTTTTATGAAAAATGGGAGATCCTCAGAAAATCCAAATACTGGCATTTAAATAAAATATTTACTTTAACATCATATATCAGAAAATAACATGCAGCAGAGTTATATTCAAGTCTTGGATACTGTATTAAAAGATGTTATTCACAAAAATGTTATCCTTCTTATAACTCCATCATGAGAAACATCAATTTGCCAAAATATGATCTTGAATTGTGCAACAGTCTCCTATTTCTTCTTATAAAATATACTGGCAAAGACCAACAAACCCACACAGCTACAATAAAACCCATCTTCACATTCCATGGTTTCGAAGCAATTCCATAAATACAGGGTCATAAAGAAAGCCTGCAAACTCCTGTAGCCAGCACTCCATTTTAAGAATAGGAAACTGAAGACAATGGCTCCTGATGACGCAGTTGATGGCAATCTGAGACTCTCTTAAGAGTTCGCAGAAATTACCAATCTTATCTTAGAAATCAGCATACTAAAAGGGAATACAAAATTCATATAATATAGGTGACAAACAAATTTGGGTGAAATATTAAAATTTTTACAGTTCAGATGCTTTAAGATACAAGTCATGTTTAGCATATTCATATGCTGGTAACAACAAAATCTCAAGAAACAGAATGTTCAAGTTCCAGCCAATGACTTGTTTATATCAATTATATTCCATATTATAGAGTTCAAATGTTATGAGGGAACATAAATAGCCGTTTGTAGCTCAAAATAATAACTGACCCAAGGGAAAGCTGTATACCTTTGAACTCTAAAGATGCAGCTAACCATCTTTCACAAACTAGTGATTTTTTTTTTTTTTAGTTCTAACAGACAATAAGATAAAAAATCATAAATGTTGTTTCCTACAATTATTAGAGATTTGATGTTTCAAGTTTCTAAATAATTTTTTTTCTTATAATTTTATAATAATGAAAGTTAAAATTAAACTCTCATTATTTGCAACAGCATGGATGGACCTAGGGATGAGAGAATACTATGTTCTAGAAAGTGCTAAGAATTTCATACACACTATTAAAATAAAAGAAACACTAAATTACATGTTTTAAGACATGCGTTCAGGTTTTAACTGCTTCTTGATAACTATTAATCTGGTGACCATTAAAATATATTACATAAAAGGCAGAATAAATATAACCATACAAGAAATTAAGATGAGGTGCAACATTAATAATCTTACTACAATATAAATTAGTTACTAGGCACACATCTTTATTAGGCAATCTTACTAGACAAGTTTGAACCACACAAGGGGTTAAAAATAACTACAATGAAAAGCCAACAGCTTAGCAGCACAGTTGAGCCAACATTCCCTTCTCTCCTCCCCCTGCCCTCCCCATCCTCTCCAATCCAGAATGAACTGCATGCCCCACTGCACAAGGCCCAAAAAGGTCACAGGAGATGGCAGAGACTTTTGTAAGAGAACAGAAATAACTCAGCAGCTTTGTTACCGTGCTTTCTCTGAATCAGTATGTTCAAAATCCTTTAATTAGCACTCTGTCTACACAAGGAAAGCATTTCTTCTGTGCCAAGGGAGGGCACATATATACGTAACACAGTGTTCTGTTTTATCAGCATCACAACGTGGAGCTGGTGCCTCAGACTGTTTGCCAGGGAACTGAAGCACAGAAAACTTTTAAAAGACACAGTACCACATATTTACATACCCATTTGCATTTCCATTACCAAACAACAAAGTGATGATTAAGTTTGTTTCATTTAGGCTTCAATTATTTCTGAATTTTTTTTCAGCACAAATGGAAGTATTGTTAACTAAAAAAATGTCTTTTTAGTCCATTATTGTAGAGTAGGATATTTGATCTTAATATAAAATAATGTTAATAGTACATAAAAACACACAGTATTCAAATATTGTTCCTTTGCTCATAATAGATCTTCCGTAGGGGGGAAAAAAAAAATTGCCTCACTCAAACACAAATAAACCAAAAGACCCATTTCTACACAAATACTGCACATTTAAAATTCCATCCAACCACAAAGTCTTAAAACTTGCAGGCTGGATTATTTGTATATATTTCCTTGTAAAGTCTAAAATCAAGATAGAAATTAGTGATAAATCAATTACAAGTATTTAAAAATCCACAGCCAAGAACATTTCATTAATAAGCTGAGATTTGAAATATTTTAATAGGGACATGTAAGTGTTACAAACTTATTTTTAATCTTTCAAAGTCAAGTTGAATATATATTGTAAGAAGCAGCACGTACATATGTATTTACTTATATATATGTAATTAAATAAAACAATAATCTTCTAAATATCTGATTATAGAAACAATCTACTTAAATTTAAGGTAAAGTTTAGTATTAGGGAGATGCATAACATAATTGCTTGAAAGCAAACTCTTCCACACATGTCTATTTGTCATTTGAACTAATAGGCAGTTCTGGACAATACCACTATTTCGCAGGTTGGTATGAAAATTAAACAAGATGATGCATGTAAAGCACATTGCAAAAATCCCCAAGTTTGCTGGCAAGGCTATGAAAAGACGGGAAAGGTATTTTTATGCACTGCACAGAAGTGTAAATTATACAACCTATCATACTAGAGGCCCAGTGCAAGAAATTCGTGCATGGGGGGGCGGGGAGTTGCCCTCAGCTCAGCTTGCACCCTTTCCAATCCGGGACCCCTTAGGGGACGTCCAACTCCCAGATTGGGCCTAAACTGGCAGTTGCACATTCCTCTCACAATCTTGGACCGCTGGCTTCTAATCGCTCACCTGCCTGCCTGCCTGATCACCCCTAATTGCCCCCTTCCCCCCACACCCCCCCCCCGCTGGCCTAGTTGCCCCTAACTGCTCCCTGCTGCCATCCAGGTCACCCCCAACTGCTCCTTCCACGCTGAACTGCCCCGTCCCCCCCACCAGCCTGGTTGCCCCATGTTGCCTGCTTGTGCAGTCATTTGGTGGTCCCTCACTAACCCCCTTGCCAGCCTGGTCATCCCATGTAGCCTGCTTGCTCAGTCATTTGGTCATCCCTTACTAACCCCCTCTGATGGCCTGGTTGTAGGCAACCATCTTGTGATGGCGTGAGGGTCAATTTGCATATCACCTCTTTATTATATAGAAATATATACAAAACTACACATATATTGTATCTGTTGCAGCACTGTTTGTGATTGCAATATTGAAACAATATAAATATCCTTCCACAGGGAATAGTTAAATAAATGTTACTCCCCTACAAGAGAATTCTATATAGTTGTTTAAAACACCCTCACACACACACACACACACAAACACACGCGCGCGCGCGCACGCGCACGCACGCACACACCAAAAAACCCTATTAATAGGGGAAAATCCTATATTAATAGGGATAGTTCTCTAAGATAAACTGTTTAGAAAAAAGCAAGGTTGGAACACTGTGTACAATATGCTACCATATAAGTAAAAGGGGAGTAGATGTTCATATTTATTTGAATATACAAAAAAAAAACCCTCTGGAAATTTATACAATAATTAATAGCAATAATTACCTACAGATGATGAAATTGAAACAATACAAGCCATAATAAATGAAAGCTATCATTACTCCCCTCATCATCATCAGGAAAACATATCCTTAAAAGGTATATACAGAATTCATTCATACTGAGGTAAGCAGCCAAATCTCAAATATTCATAGACTATCTAGTTGGAGATCCAAGTCTTTCATTTCTTCTTCAAAGGTAAGTAGCTTTGGGCCATTTTACTATTGGCCATCACCTTCACCAGAAAGTAAGCTGAGGAATTAACACCAAAAATAGTCATTTCATTAATAGTGATCAGCAGTTTTTAATAAACAGCTTTGGAACTGAAAGGAACATGAAAAATTCCATTAATACAACCTTTGATTATTATATCTGAAGAAACTAAGATCCAGAAAATTCCCCAAATTAGTTACAGTTCAAAGATTTGAAGTCTACCCCCTAGATAAATACTTTGCATTTTCTTTAAGGTGATGAAGGGAAACTGATAATAAACAAAAATTGAAATCAATTATCCTTGTTAACTTCCCTCCCACCACATCCTTTATTTCAGGTAACCAAGTCTGTTGAGATCAAATCCTATATGCAATTGTAGTAAGTAGAGAATAGGTCATCCAGAGAATTAGTCCTGAGGTTTCCAGGATTAAGCATTGAATAAACATCTGTAATAAAATCTGTAAAGTTTGCTTACACTAGAGATTGTCAGAGGCATGTTGAAATCCTTGCCACCTTGCAGCCGGAAACCCCAAGGAGCTGGGCCAACCAAGGACACACTGTAGTTGCTCATGGTGTTAGTGGTTCAAAGTCCTATCCCAGAGTGTGAAACTGTGAAAAGAAAATCAGATGGTTAAAAAAATATATTTACTTGAAGCCCTATTACATATTTAAATGTATCTAATATAAACCCAACTAAATTATGTTCAGTATTTTGTTTTGGGGCTTTGAAGGACCATAGAGCCTAAGTCTATATTGAGTTCTCATTTCAATCTGAGAAAAGGAATAAATGACCTAACATACAATCTCTAAACTCACGCCAATTTCCATAGTATAAAAATTCCACATCAGAATATATTTCTAGACACTTGATCTGTTTTACAACAATCTGTGGTTTCTTACAAACTTTAACTCAAAGTACTTTACAACACTGTTATATATAGAAGAGCAAGATTTCATTTCATATTTAATTCAATATGATTTTCTCCTTCCTTCCACCTCATGCATTCTTTTGCCTGCAGTTGGCAAAAGATCTTCAATTTCACTTACTTAAATTCTAAATTACTCTAACATATGAAAAGGACTGCTAATTCACAGACTCTCATTCATGCTTACTAAATTCTTTAAAATTAAGTGTTTTTTCATATACAAAACTATTCTCTCCAATCATAACCTATAACTCAAATTTCCTCTTATAGGGATGTGATATATCCCACACTAGGAGTAACATTTACTTTTTCTTCAGGCAGGCCATGATAGGCAATACTCCAGCACAGTGATATTCCAATCAGAACCTTTTTATTTATACACACACCTCATCAGGCAAAGCAGAGGGTGAGCATTTACCACATAGTGAGACTGACTAAATGTGATAGGAGTATAATCTTAATGAATGAAAGGGAATAAGTTTTAAAAAAACAAACAGAACTTGATTGCCTTCTTTTTTGTTTTGCTGTAAGTGCACTTATAAGGACTCTCATAGTAGCACATTTTTAAATATATTTTTATTGATTTGAGAGAGGAAAAGAGAGGGAGAAACAGATAGAAACATCAATGATGAGAAAATCACTGATCAACTGCCTCCAGCACGCCCCCTACTGGGATCCAGCCTGAAACCTGGTTAAGTGCACTGACTGGGAATTGAACCCTGACCTCTGGGTTATAGGTTGATGCTCAACTACTGAACCACACTGGACAGGCACGGTAGCACTTTTACATTTAAAAAAAAAAAAAAAAAAAAAAAAAAAAAACTTAAGTAAAAAAGTATGAGTTGGAGTTTGGGGTTGGTTGTTATGGTGGTTACATGTGGGTGGGAGAAAATGGGAGAAATGGAGATTTTCTAAGATGTAATACTAAGAAACATAATATTTCCCTCTTTCTTTAAAAATATAGCACATGTATAACTTAATCATTTTAAAACGACATTTTCAAAAAAGCTTTAAAGACACACTTCCTTAGAAAATCTATGCTGTTTAACCAAATCATCACCTTGTATTACCTATCTTACAATATTTCTTTAACCCATTCAAAATGTCTATGCCATCACATCAAATTGACAGTAGCAAATGTAGATATTAAAACTACTGGGTATATTAAAAGCAAATACATTCCATCTTTTCATAAGAAGAAAATGAGGCAATACTTTTAAATAAGTCTGGCTCCTGAAAAATTAAATTCGTGAAAAATCCACGTGGCATCTACCTAGAAACTAAATTCGCAGTATACTGAAGTACTATGTAAAAATATATCACTTCAATACTGATGTATAGGCACAGGGCAGTCAAAACACCAAAGGCCAAACCAGAAGGAAAACTGTTAAATACACATGAAAACAAATAGCAGGGAGATAATAAAGAGCCACATGTAATTTAAATCCTTCCCCCTATAATGTTCTTCATAGAACTAGAAAAGACTCTCTTGATACAGACACATTATGCAAATCAGGTTTATAAAGCCAACAGGTATTTCACAGTCAGCCTATTCTTCCTTCTTTTTTCATCATTAATTTTTGTCCAGAGAAGAGGGTTTGAGTTAGGCTCCACTTCTCCTGGCCCCTCTGCTTCCTTACAAGAAAATGTAACGTATGTATCCGCCCGTGCACATGCAACCTTTTTTCACTTGGAAGTTCCCTTCCTGACTTATCCCATTTGTTACTAAAACGTCTAGCACTAGCCAAGGCATAACCACACTTACACTTCCAGTCTGTGTAGCCTCTAAGCATTCTCCCTCTGCTAGTTTCATTTGTCTTAAAATAATCTAACACTACCCACCACCCACCCCCCCAAGCAATGGCAATATTTCTGGCCTTTTCCAGATCTCCTTCATCTGACGACCAGTGCCCAAACTCTTCCTAAAATACCGAGCAAGGCAGGAAATAGCAGCCTATCCTGCTTTCAAACTCGCAGAAAATGTTGGCGCTTCTGTAGAGCTCTGGATTTGCTCTTAGGGGAAGGCTAAAGGATGTATTCGCCCTGGTACTCTGGGAGGGAAGCTGGGTTGTTTCCCACACTCCTATCCTATAGGCGGGGAAAGAGAATGGGGGGGGGGGGGGGGAGAAGAGAGAGAATTCCTGATGAACTGCTCAGGGTACCGAGAATTTCTGGGTCTGAAATTAAAGAGCAGCATCTTGAGATTTCTTCTTGTCCCCCCCCCCCCCCCCCCCCCCAGACGGAGAGACAGCGGAGGTGGAGCTGAAGAACGGAGGCCACGGGCGCGGGATGGGAGCGGCCAAGGAGACGGTCTCGCAGCAGATGTTCTCGCCTCGCCCCGCGGCCAAATAAGGCTCCTCCGCGCCGGCCGTTTCCGCGGCGGCGGGCGCGCCCGGCGGCCCCGCGGTCAGGGGGGCGGACCCGGGGTGGGATCGGGCGCTCACACCCTCTAGACCTGCCCTGCCCGGCGCAGCCCCGAGCCTTCTGGGCGAGCTCTGCCCCTCCTCTTTCCACGTATTGTCAAGCGCACGGGAGGCGCCGTCTTAGAAAAGCCCCAACAGGCACACGAGTATGAATAAGTCTGGCGTGGTTCACGACAGATCTGTGTGGTTTGGTTTGGTTTGGTTTGTGTTGTTTGTTTTTTTTTAAACCAGCTTTATTTCGGGACGCGCGGAAGTTTTCTCCAAACAGGTTACAAAATCCTAACTATCTGGGGCGGGGTGTGTGGGGAGGGAATAAGTGCTTCTCCGTAGGGAGAGAGGAAACAAAAAGTAGCACGCCATTCCCACCGAGTCCCGCTCCCTCCCCGCAACCCCGAGGGAGATGGCGCGGGACCGGGTGGCCGCGGGCGCCAAGGGGGGGGGGGGGCGCCTGGGAGCGCCCGGAGCGCAAGCCGGCGGGCCGGTGCGGGGCGCCCGGGGGGCCTCCCCGTCCAGCGCGCTCCGCTCCCGCGTCCGCGCCTTGGCCGCGCTCGCCCCCGCCGGCCGGCCGGCCGGACTCCGGGACGCCCCGGCCATGCCGGTCCACTGGCCGCGCCGCCCGCGTCCGGGCGCTCCTCTTCCCACGCCCGCCGCTCCGCGTCCAGAAAGCACCTGAGAGACCGCCCCGCGCAGGAGGCGCCCCCTCTGCCTTCCCGGCCGGCCAGCCAGCCAGCCGCTACCTCCCCGCCTCCCGCCGGGGAATCACGGCCGCGCATCCCGCGCGGGCGGCCACTCACCTCGGGCCCCGCGCCGCGCTGCCTTCGCCTCAGACGAGCGCTGACAAATGATTCGCGGGGCGTGCGCCGCCCTCACCAGCCGCGGGAACTTCCGCCTCCTCGGGCGGCAGGCCCCGCCCCCGCCCCTGGGCACGCCCCCTTCGCTTCGGGACACGCCCTCCTTTGCTTCAGGACACGCCCCCTTCGCTCCGAGAGCACGCCCACTTTGCCCCCGGCCTCGCCCTGGGGCCGGGCCGGGCCGGGCCGGGCCGGGCCGGGCCGTGCCGCGCGGGCGGGGAAGGTGCCGCGGAGCCAGCGCTCGGGCTTGCAGGGGCGAGCTGAAGCCAATTGCGCTGCGAACCGAGTTTTGGTGAGAGTAGTCTTCCGGCGTTTTCTAGCAGTGCCCAGCAAAGATCTGCTCGGCGAGTTTATTTTGCATTGGATGCGTTTCTCTCCGCAGAAACTGAATTGGCAAGCAGTTGCTCTGGCTAAAAATAGAAGGGGACTTTGGATAAATCCCTATCTGCGCAAGTTCAGTGACGGCTGCCTGTTGGTTGTTGTTTTGAGAGCTTCCTATGCCCCGGGAAACGCAAGCCCTCAAGTTTGCTCAACAGGAAAGTGACAATCAGACACTTGGATATCTCGAAGTTAAATCCTGTGATCACACCAGAAGGCAGTGATTGAAGTTCAATTACTATAGCCTTAGCTTATTTTTCTAAATCCAAATCAATAATAGTCCAGTTTCTATAAAGTTGCTTGAATTAGCTTAAGGAATTTTTTCATAAACTAGTGGTCCAGTACATGAAATTCGGGCACATGAAAAGGGAATTAAATGAAGGAAATATTTTAATATTGCTATTCACATCCCCTGGCCTGGCCCTGGGCGGGGAGGCAGCCTCACATTCCAGGCAGGTGCAAGTCTCCGCTCATCAGCACCTGCCTCACCTGCAGCCTCCTGCTGTTCAGTTGTTAGTGTGTCATGGCGTGATGACCATTTGCATATTAGTCTTTGATGATGATGATGATGATGATATCTAGCCCAACTTTTTTATTATTATGTGTGATAAATTCCTGGAAATGTAATCATCCAGCCCAGGAGCCTGAATATTTGCTACATCCTGTCAAATTGTCTCCTGAAATGCTGTCCCCTACACTCCAGAGCAGTGCTATCAGGTGTCTGTTTCATCACACCCTCTCCAGCACTGAATATTGTGATTTTTTTTTAATGTATCAGGTATCTTCCCTTTGAAATTACTTGATTACCTTTGAAGTTAAGATTTCTCATGTATATTAGTTACTTTATTTCTTCTTTAGTTCAAGGTCTTTGCTTGTACATATTCTTCTTTGATTAATCCTATTTCCTTTGAGTTCATGGGAAGCAATAGCAGCTTCCATGGAGGAAGGTGGGGGGTTAGAAGAGGGAAAGTGGTGCTGGACCGATGTGGTTGG